TTCAGTAATTTATCAAAGGCCATTTTAAAATCATTTGGACACCCAGTTGCATTAACTGAATTACAGTTTATATTCAGTGCTATTCTCTGCATATTTTTCGTTTCGTTAGTAAATTTTTTACAGAAACCTTCATTACGTAATACTAAATTTAGTAAAACTATTAACAATTTCCCTGATGGGGTTTTACCAAGCTACCTAAATGGTGATTTTAACCAATGTATTGTTAATAAATTTTTGAAACCATGTAAATTAGCAATTTCAATTACATTCCCAATGGGTGTCTTCCAATTCGTTGGTCATATCACATCTCATAAAGCTACTTCAATAATACCAGTTTCATTGGTTCATTCCATCAAAGCATTATCACCCATTATCACAGTAGGTTATTATAGAATTTTCAAAAATAGATATTATAATGTTATGATTTATTACACATTATTGGTCTTAGTCACAGGAGTAATGACTACTTGTTGGTCTACTCATGGAAGTAAAAAAGCAGCAGATCAAACAGCAGATGAAGATAACTTCTCTAGAATAAAAGGTTTGGTTTTTGCGTTTGTTTCAATGTTAATCTTCGTGTCTCAAAATATTTTTGCAAAAGGAATTTTAACTGTAAAGAAAAGCATAGGTGTATTACCTTCTTCATCTTCGACGTCAGTGAATTCTGTCTCATATTCGGAAATTAAAAAAATACCGCTATCCCCTAATCAATTGGATAAATTAACTATTTTATTCTATTGTTCCTGCATGGGTATCCTATTGACACTTCCACCTTTTATCACTGGTGAATTAGTTGCAGGACACAGCTTCCTGAATGATCTATCGTCAGATACTTTATTACTCATACTATTACACGGTGTCACACATTTTTTCCAAGCATTAATGGCCTTCCAGCTAATTGGCATGTTATCTTCAGTTAATTATTCAGTCGCCAATATCATGAAACGTATAGTGATAATATCAGTAGCCTTAATTTGGGAAAAGAGATTAAGTTTTAACCAATTAATTGGTTTATTGTTAACCTTATCTGGTTTGTATGGATACGATAGATGGGGGTTATCAAAGCATGTTTCCGATGAATAATAGGAGATAAATATTTAATATATCTGTTCACTTAGCTTCAGCATAAATTTCTATTTAATCTAATAATTCTCACAAAAGTGGGATATCTTTATATGCATATAATAGCTCAAAATTCGTTAATATTTAATTTGATACAGTAAATGTATATATTAAGCTATGTACATCATATTTATATATACATGTATTTCATAAATAAAGTATGTATGTCGCATATGCCATCTTCGCCAATTTTTAGTAGGGAAATAATAGCAATTAATGAAAGAATTTAAAATATTTTGAAATATAAAACAAATATTAACTTTTTTATAATTTTGGATCTCCTTATTATTTTTCTTCGAAAAGAATACACATTATTAATACAATAGTCATTTCTAATTATACTCATCTTAATGTTTGGCAACTGGGTTTTCACCAGTTAGCTTACCAACGAAGTCTCTGGCCATATCACCGAAACCGACCATGAAAACTGTCTGCCAAACACCTAAACCAATTCTTGGTGTAACACCACGATAAAGACCTTTCAAACCATTAGTGTTATAGATATATTTGAATGTTGTACCCACGGTTAAGTTCTTTGGTCTATTTGGATCACTTTTCTTTGATTGCATTTCGACTCTAATAACTTCAATTGGTTGATTCCATGCACTTATACCACCACCGATAGCAGATGCTGTAATTTTTTCGATAGCAGTTAATTTATCTTCTGGGTTAGTCTTACCTGTAACGTTTCTAATACCTTGTTCTACTAATCTTGAGAAACCGAAACGAGAACCCCAATTAGTCATCTGTCTAATGGCAACGGCATTGACACCCTTATTAATACCTCTAATACCTTCATTCTTGTAAATAGTTTTGAAAACACTCCATGATGATTGAGGGGCCACACCAGAAGCCACTGTCTTTTGTCTTGTAATTTCAACAGTTTTCATACAAGTACAGAACCCCATTGTAGCGTAAGCTTGTACAACACCACCAGAAACACCACCAAGTATACCTGAACTGAAATTACTAAAACCTACAGACCTTAATCTATTTTCAACTTCAGAAGAAACAAATAATAAAACAGCACCTTTAGTTGAAGCTTCAATCCAAGCCCATGGAATTAAACCTTGGTAAAACCCAAATACACCACCTCTAGACCAGACATGTTTAATAGCTTGCATAAAGGTAGCATTTCTATTGGCAGCCATAGTAGTCTTAACGACTTCTAATGGCTGACCTAAGGTAGAAACTTCACACATATTCAAACCTGCACCTAATAGCAGGTTTGAAAAGGATACTTTCTTCTTCTGTACTGGTTGTTGGCTGGCAGTCATGTCTCCTACAATCTATATATTTAATTATTCACAGTATTATTAGATCTTATTCCAACTAAAGAGTATCTGATATATCAAAATCAAATCAAAAAGTTGATATTAATTTACTAATGAGAATAAGCTTCTTCTTATTCCTCTACTCCTTCTAATTTTTAAATATCCGTATAGTTAAATTTCAAAATCGATCTAAAACGATATAGTTAACGAACGATAGAAAGATATCTTTGAATATGATGAAAATTTATCTAACTTAGATCAAGGCTTTAAAAATCTTATTAAGATATAGATATAATCTATAATTTCTAGGTTTATTGAAGGAAACAGAAAAAAATTAAAGGTACGTTAAAAGCTTTGTTTCGAGAAATGACTGTTTCTCAACCAAGTCCAAGAACTTATATTCTAACTCAAACTTCTAACTATTAAGGAAGAATTAACGTAGCCAAATTTAATCGTGTTCGAAATTTCATTATTTCGAGAATCAACAGAAACAGGCATATCAAAGTATATATCAAAGTATATATATATATGTGTGTGTGTATATATACCGACAACGGCAACAGCAGTAACAAGAAGACGAGAAGAAGCCTCTCTTAACACTTACCTAAATAAGAAAGGAGTCGTTTTTTCTCAGTTTTCTTTTTAGTCTAAGGTCTAACTCTTTCTTCAATAACCTAAACCATTCAATATTTGCATAATTACCATTAAGAAACTCATTGAGTTCAAGACTGATAAATTACTTAACTACTATATTGATAGATAAGATAATTCATGTATTCCTGTGGAATTCAGTTAATTTATTATATTAACAAGAATTTATTAGGTTATGCTATTCAGTTATTGTTCGTTTCTTGTATATCTTGTGTGATTGGAAAATTGCGTTAATCAGATATGACTCCGAAATAAAAAGAAATACAATAAGAAGTTGTCTTGTTTTACCAAATTGATAGAGGGCATGGGAATTTGTTTTTGTTCTTGAATGGTAGTATGAAGGGATCGTTTCTTGTTGTAGATGTGTTGATAAACTAGATCAAGTATGTAGGTTTTTTTTGATGATTAATAGCTGGAGTTATATATATAGGTATAATTATATTTGTACTCAGTGTAGTGGTAAGAAGTTGGAGTTTAATTTAAATGTTTTTGTTCTGTATATTAATTGGTTGATTTCTTTTGACAATGGGATGAATGGGTTGAATTTGACCTGCAGCATCCTCTTACCTGAATTTGCTAATCCGAGATTCATCAAAAGTTTTATTAAGTCATGGCATTGGGACTTACAATTTTATGGTACAAGTAACAGATTTATGTTAATTATATATATATTCTTACAATTATACTTGAACAATACAAATCAAGTGATTATATCTTCTCAACAAAAGTTGTTTTTTTTCAATTCTACACGAGACATGACTTCGCATCGATGATTATGATTAATATCAATAGTTCTTGCATTTATTTTTTTGTTCCACGCTACTGTCGAACATTGAAATACGATAATAACAGAGATCGGAGCACTATTTGGCGACTTGTCTTCTAGCAATATATTGCCATAGAATTAACTGACCTTTGTTCGGCCCTCTTGTGTTTATTGCACCTCAAAGCCGTGCTACATTAGTGGTTTCTCATCTAAAAGATCTATCTATATGTTATTTCATAGTCACTTTTTTTATTCGATTTATTTCAATTTTACAAGGTTTTTCCAGAGTTTTTACCTTAATTAACCGAAACTTCTTTGCCTCGAGAGTTGGATTTCTACTCAATTTTATTACCGTAATTTAATTTCCGATCATAAAATTCACTAGAATTCATTTGCGGAAAAACTTAATTTTTTCCGTCTTGTTAAAAATGAATAATTCTTCCGAATAACAATTTCTTACTTTTGATGTAAAATTTAACATGACAGGCAGGACAAGCAAGCCAAATTATTAGTAAGGATTGCTGAGGTGAAGGCAAGTAATCGTTCCCTCTAGTTTGGCTCCTTATCAGACAACTCTGTGGCAGTGACAGTAGTTGTGGTTGTTGTTTTTGGTTCCTTCCGCTGTCAATAATTTAAGGGTAGGTAAATAATTAGCGATGTAATTTTGCTGTTTCTGATTACCACAGTAGTTATTCCGAACAAATCCTTTGAGATTGAATACCGAAAAATCTTTGCAAGTATGTGAGATCTGATAGGAATGGCTGTCTATGGTTTACTTTAGAGGACATATATTAACGACATCTTGTGTAACTCTTAAGTAACAAAGGGAAAAAATTAAGAAGACTAAAGAACGGCAAATGTATTTTGAAGTTGTGGGTTACTATGGTGTGTCATACTCTAGATATCTAAGGTCATCTACATATTGCAATTGATGAGTAAAATAAAAAATATGGTAACAATTTTTCTATTGTATTTGGGATTTTTAAATAAATTTATGACACCCTCAAAACAGGTATAAAATGAAGTCCAATTAATAAGTTCATCATATTCTTGCCTTGGTATTCCAAGATCTTACTTTATTATCTTAAAATTGATTACAAATGCAGTAACATAAAAATAAGAACATATTTTAAACAATAATATATACAGATACATCTAGCTATAGATATATATCTATAAAAACTATGGTCAGCTCGATTCTTAAAAAGATTACAGGCACCGAAAGACATTCGGCGGATGCTGCAACAGCAGATTCTACATTGAATATTCACTATTCAAAAACATCTACTCTTAATGATGAAATTCAAGAATTGCCTAAATTGCACACTAGGGACAGTTTTGGCAACAGTGACAGTGAGTCTTTAGAAACTATTGTCTCATTAAGAGAAATTGACGAGAAAAAGGATGGGAATGTTGAAACAACAAATGGTGATCTTGAAGATGACAACGATGATGATATTGATTTTCCAGAAGGTGGGTTACGTGCCTGGATTGTGGTATTTGGTTGTTTCCTAGGTTTGACTGCTTGTTTCGGTTTATTGAATACTATTGGTGTTATAGAGACACATATTCAAAGTCATCAATTATCAAATGAGAGTTCCCAAGTAATTGGCTGGGTTTTTTCTATTTTCCTTTTCATCTGTTTCAGTTCGTGTATTTTCAGTGGTACATATTTCGATAGAAATGGTTTCAAAGTACCAATGATTATTGGCTCAGCTTGTCAAGTCGGTGGTTTGTTTGGTGTAGCCAACTCGACTAAAATTTGGCATTTCTTCTTGTCATTATCTGTTTTATCAGGTTTTGGTAATGGTATTATCATGAGTCCATTAGTAAGTGCGCCATCTCATTATTTTAAAAAAAGACGTGGTACTGCTACAGCTGTCGCAACTATGGGTGGTTCATTAGGAGGTACAATATTTCCGATTATCCTTCGTAAATTCTTTAAGATGGAAAATAAAAACAACCCTGATGATATTAATTATGGCTTTATTTGGGGTGTTAGAATTATTGCCTTCATCAACCTAGGTTTACTAATTATGTCTATTATTTTGGCAAAGGAAAGAATAGTAATGGAAACAAAACTAAAGGAAGGTGAACCAAAATGGAAATCTATCATAAGAGTATACATCTTACAAAGCTTCGATTCCAAGGCATTTTTAGATATGAAATACTTTTTTGCAGTTGCTGGTACAGTATTTGCTGAAATCTCGTTGAATTCAGCAGTCACATATTATGGATCATACTGTACAAGCATTGGTATTAGTGACTCGGATGCTTACACCATGATCATGACCATGAATTTATGTGGTATTCCTGGAAGATATGTGCCAGGCTATTTGAGTGATCATTTGGGTAGATTTAACATCTCCATTTGGACTTTGACATCTTTGGGGATTCTAATGTTTGTTGGGTGGCTACCATTTGGTACTTCATTAACAAGCATGTATGTTATTAGCGCCCTGTATGGATTCTTTTCGGGAAGTATTTATTCCCTATTGCCTGTCTGTATTGGACAAATATCTAAGACAGAAGAATTTGGTAAACGTTACGCTACAATGTATGTTGTAGTAGCCTTTGGTACTTTAATTGGTATTCCAATTACTGGTGCTATCATTGGTAATGAATCTAATGCTAATTATAAGCATTATATTATATTTTGTGGTGTAATGTCATTAGCAGGCGCTGCTTGTTTCGTTATCTCCAGATCCTACTGCGTTGGTTTGAAATTGAAGAAATTTTAGACCAACCTTCATAATTTGCATTTCATTATAACTCATTCACTTTTATAGAACAATTTTATTTTTTAAATAATAATAATTAATTAATACATTTCATTTCACATTATTTCTGGAATTCAAATCAGCATTGTATAATCCCAGCTTTAGCCATTCTTTCACACCAAGATTTTGCAATAATTCTGAAGTGTACGAATTTTCGTAATAATTTAATAATTTCCCTGAATTTTCAATGTCATACTCCTTATTTAAATTCTTTATTAAACTTACTCTTAAGTATATCAATGGGATTTTTACAGAATTAATTAATTCCAACCCTTTCGAAGTTAGCAAATTTGGGGAACACATCATTACAATTGTCTTATTTTTATCACTAGGTCTATTACAATGAGTTGAGTATGCTCCAACTAATTCTCGTAATTCCTTTGGTGAAACTTTTGAACTTGAAAAGGCCTTACATTGAACCAAGATTTTTAAATCCATTGTATCCAAATTCCCTTTCAAAATTGAATTGTATATTGGCTTAATAGTTCTCCCATTAATTTTTGAAATTGATGGAATCTTGTTTCCATCTAATTTAAGAATCAAATTCATTTTCTCATAAATTGTCCTTAATGGCCAATCACCCACTAAATCAATCCCACCATCATTCGAGCCACCTATTTTCATCATATTAATAACATTTAACTTGCTTTCAAGTTCTCTCATTACAGTATATTCATATAAATTACCTTGAAATACAGTAGAAGATTCAATATTTCTATTATCATTAATAAATTTCGTCAACGAATCATTATTGATGCTCCTCTTAAACCTTTTAATACCAAATCCTCGAGGATTCATCATCATTCACCACAGATATTCCAATTACAATCAATTGTGACACTCTTGTTCATAATATTTTAATAATTTTATAACTCATCTCAAAACTTTAAAGGTTTAATCCTAATAAGGAATACGAGAATGTTATTCTAATTTCGAAAAGTTTCTATTTAAAGTTCATCAAAACCTAAATAAAGATAAGATTGAAGAAAGGTTTCTAAATCAGGTTCGAAGATTGATCCAGAAAAGGCTAGGACCAGAGGGGTTTTTTGAGGTTTTAGTAAGATTGTGAGTTTGGTGTTATTTTGATATCAGTTAAGAATGTCAGTTGAGAATACTGGTACTTTTATTGAGGAAAAGCCTTTGACTACTCCTGGAAATGATGAAAATGCTAATGATAGTACGAGTGAAGAGAAAGTTTTGACTGTATTTGATGTGGCTACAGAGATTGAAACTTCTCTAAAGGAGTTACAAGATAAATTGGTAGAGAATAATGAGCATTTCAATAAGACTGTTATGGCTATGGAGAAGAAACTATCTCAAATGGAAAAATGAAATATCCAAGAGCATTCCTTATATGAATGATCTATTATACCATTTGAGAGATTAAGTTCTTGTGATTTTCTGGAATTCGATACAGTACTAGGTTATATTGTACCGTAATGTAGTTTCTAGTAACATCGTCGTAAAACTCCATACTAGAAATACAAGTTGTAACAATGAAATGAAGTTTTAAATTTAGTTGATAGTTCTACTTTAAATCAAGAAGTTTGACAGTAGCAAGTCAAAGAAAAGCTGTCACATATTGGTTTAATGGTGTGTTGTGCCCTTTGTTCGTCCTAGTTTATTCATATATGTACGTAATGTATCGATAATTTATTTTATCACCCTTTTATACACTGTGTATAGAGTAATTTATGTACCTGCTGAGTTGAATCAAACAAATTTATTTCTATAAGAATATTATTGACATTAAAATATGTAGAATATATACAAGGTTGGTGAGTTTGATGGATTGAATTAATTTCTGACCATATTAATGTCAACTTTGATACCTTCATTAATTCCATACATATTGGAATTTTTTCACGAGATGAGATGAGGTTCTAAAAAATAACATCGATATATCTGACAATAATGAACAATGAAACAATAAATGTATAATAAAATAAATACACACCAAGTCGTCAGAGGTTCTTCATTTGAGTTATTAATTAACGTCAAATTTGTATCCTCTAAGGTTAATAGATCAAAAGATGGGAAAAGGTACTAAAAGAAAGCTTGGATCTACTGAAGATGTTGAAATATTTAACTCTTCCAGTATAAATGGTTCACAAGATGATAAATCATATGGTGGGAGTAGCAAAGATAATAGGTCAGAGATTAATAATGATATATATCAATATTCCCAAGTTATTCAGTTGGAACATGCAGTTACAAAATTTATGGAATCTTATAAACGAATCATTAATCTATCACCTAACTTAAAAGGTTATCAGACTGCTTTAGAAAACCAAGATAAGATACCTTTACAAGTATTACCAGCATTCGGAAGGTATAAATTGAAAATGGCAGCTGAATTGAAATCTTTGGAAGAGTTGAAGAAGATTAAATTGTTCGATGATTTAGCACGTTATGAGGATACCTATAAAGAAGACGATATCAAACCGATCTTAAAGGATATCACTGAAAAGGATGTAGAATCATTATCGAATGCTAAGTTTGATCCATCAGTTGAATATTTGGAAAGTGATGAAGAAGATGAAACTTTAGGAGGTGATGATGATTCATTATCTTCCAGTAAGGTGAAATGGCCTCCAAAGCTACCAGAAATAAAAGACCCATCTATTAGAGCAAAGGTTTTTATTCACAAATCTACAATCAAAGATAAGCTATACTTGAAAGAGTCAGAGATGATTAATGCCCATAATGAGCGTCTAGAATTTCTGGGAGATTCTGTTTTAAATACTATAATGACAATGATTATCTACAATAAATTCCCAACTTTTACAGAAGGTCAATTATCAAAGTTAAGAATGAACTTAGTCAGCAATGAACGTATTAAATCATGGACATATTTATATAATTTTGATAAGAAACTAAAGACAAACTTTGATTTAGGGAATGATAAGTCTCATTTTCAAAATGGTAAACAGAAATTATATGCAGATGTTTTTGAAGCTTATATAGGTGGTTTAATTGAAGATGACCCTAAGCATAATATGCCTAAAGTAAGAAAATGGTTAACAAAACTTTCAAAACCAATTATTAATGAAGTTATGCAGAAGGATGTAAGTTTGGAGACTACAGAAAACATAGATTTAAACGCCAAAAGGCAATTATATTCAATTATTGGATACGCAGCATTGAATTTACACTATGAGCCAGTGAAAAGACCAACTAGAGACGACCCGATAAGTATAGTAGAATGTAGAATAGATGATGGAACTGTTCTTGGTGTCGGTAAGGGAAGAAATGTCAAAATTGCAGGCCTATGTGCAGCTCAAAACGTATTGAGAAATAAATCTTTGATTGAAAAATATTCACAATTGAGAGCATCTATACCGAGAAAAGAATCAGTTTTAAAGTCAGATACCTCTCAGCCTAAGAAGAAACGTAAAATTAAGAATACCAATGAAGCAGAAAGCAAGAACATTAAATTAAACGCCAATGGAGAATTTGTCATTGAATAGGGATCAAACCTGAATCGTTGGTAAACCGACAGTTCGATATCATAATTAATTACAAATTGTTTTTTATAGATTATAAAAGTGTATAATATTATAATTCTGCATGTGTATCAAATATAATTGATAGATACTTAGGGAGAAAATGAATATTGGTATATGTGAAATTAAAAGCTCCTTACATGAAGATAGGGAAGATACTATCTTGATAAGGATACTCTTATATCTCAATTTGCTCTGTCAAACCTCTCTTCTTTCTTGGGAACTTAACCTTCTTACTCTTTGATTGACCATTTAAATTAGTCGTGCCTGGGACATTTGTACTACTTCTATAAAGGACATCGAGTTGATCGGTAACGTTATTCGATGATATTTTGTTTAACTGCTTTTGGACCTTTTTACTTTCTGAAGCAAACCACTTTTCAAATTCCTCTGCAGCCTCACGTTCAGATTCAGACAACATTGTTGGTTCTACAATCCCAAGCTTTTCCTTATCTAACATAACATCAATAGCATTTCTTGGTACTAACTTAGATGCATTGTAGAAGGGCATATGCAAATTGTCTTTGCTGATATTTTTTGGCACCTTGTTTTTCTTACTTTTAGTTTCATTTGCTTCCCTTGAATCGTAGAGTGAAGGTAAGGAACTTGGTCTACTAACTTTTTTACTTTCTGTAGTAATAGTGGTCTTTTGATTTATGTTTTCCTTCTCTTCACAATTATATTTACCCCATGCAGCTTTACTCTTCTGGAAAGCTTTTTCTTTGCCCTTTTTCTCCTCTTCAGATTCTTCAAATAGAAATTGTTTCTTCCTTTGTTTCTGAGAATTCTTCTTAAAACTGCCAATTTGCTTATTTATTGGTTTATTCAAATTTGAATTATTATCTGGCGCATCTTCATTTAAGGATAGTAAAGAAGGTAGTTTTTCATTTACCTCAACAATGTCTTTATGAACAACTGAGATATTTTGCTCCTCAAGATTTACCTTAACTTCTTCGATTTCCTTTGAAGGTTCTAATGACCCCTTTCTTTTAGACTTCTTTACTACCTCGATGAAATTATCACTATCATCTATTGCACTCGATTCACTAATAGATAGATCCGACCAATTTGATAAAGAATATGAAGACGAAATCTCTAATTGTTTATGGTCATTTGAAAATTTTCTTTGAGTGCTAGATAGTCGTCTTGTTGAACCTGACAAAACTCCAGAAGAAGCTCTCCGAGGAGTTGCTTTCTCTTTACAGTTGCTCATTACCACTTTATTATCAAATGATGGATTAAAAGTCTCAAGACCCATAAATTTCCTGTTGAATTCTTGGAGATTAGTTTTAAACTGTTGAATCCAACCAAATGAAGAATTAGTATACCAAGAGCGGTCTTCTGTAGTCCTAATAGAACTTTCTTTCAATTCTAATAAAGAATTTTCTAATATATTCCATATCTCATCATCAAAATATTCCATTATTAGATCAACATTGCTCTTTGAAAATAATATTCCAATATTAGAAGTTATGATCCAGGCACATTTAATCTGAAGCAGTTCACAATTATAAAATACAGCATTTATAAATACAGAAACGATATTGCTGCCTTCGATATACTTACCAATTTCGGATTCTAAGTAATTTTTGAACTGTTCCAAATTAATTTCATCACATAATTCAACTAAGTCAAACAAAAACTGCAATCCTGTTGTCATGGAACCTACGCTAAGATCATCAAAAATTGAATCATATGAATAACCATATAGGTACTTAAGAATACACTCAAAATGAGATTTTGAAATATGGTTAAAATGTGAAAAATCTACGACTCTATTATTCTCGTGATCTCTTGGAATCCAATTTGCCGCAAAAAGAGAATCAAAATAGGAAGATCTAGTTGCTAATATCATAGAATGGGCAGATATAATACCATCATTGGTAATAATTCTTACATCTGGTTCTGCGCATGCATCAAATATTTCGCCCTGGCAAATAGTAAATAGGTTATGTAAAGACTCTGACATATTAGAATAGTGCAATGAATTATCAACTAAATCAATCAAAAATCTGGAAACCTTTTGGTCATTTGGTCTTTCATCTGAGTATAGATAATGAATTACATCTAATAAATAATTCTTAAAGTTAAAGTCTCCATTAGTAGTTTCTAACTTTACTGTCCATTTACTTGACTCAAATGGTGAAAGCAATGTAAGTTTTGATTTTCCATTATTGAAAATATAAGGCTCACTTAACTTCCATCTTTTCAATAACTTATTACATCTCATATGAATTAGCAGCTTGTGGCAGTTGCATATGATCTCACCAGAAAATTCATCAATAAATGTGACATCATATGGTACACTTATTTCGGAATGCTGTGAGATACTTGTTATATTCTTATTTTTAAGCTCTGCATATTGGAACTTTTGATTTTTTAAGACAAGAGGTCCTTCATACTCATCGTTAATTGTCTTCGTATCTAGAGGATAGTTAGCACTGTAATCATCCGCTTCGAACTCCTTGAAGTTTAATATACCATAATTGATATCTTTTTTGGAATTTGAAAAGCCCTTTATAGGAGAATAAGAGGAAAAATTATATCTTAAAGGATCTTTTGGATAAATTATTGGAATGTTATTCACTTCATCCTTTGTAATTGAAAACGAACCAAATTGTGAATCACAAGATACAGATATAATTCGACCAGATACAATTTTTTCACTAAAAATCTTTTCAAAAGTACCATCCGTACTTTTCGAAGTATATATATCTCCACCAATCGTTGATAAAATTATTCCTTTTCTTGATCCAACATCAAAGTCAAGACACTGTTTAAAGCTATGTCTTGGTAACCAGCACACACTTATGGGTGGAATATTAGAAAACTTTGCCCACAATGATGGAGATTCATTTTTAGCACTTATTATAGCCACTCGCCCACAGCTATATCTAAAGCATATATTATTACCATATGGGTTTTTACATTTCATATCAACAATAGTGTTTGGAATTTCTCTTGGCGAGAAATGTTTAAATGCATCTAATTCCCTAAAGCCCTTGCTTTTCGGTAAGTATAATCTAAATGTTCTTGTTGTATAGTTCGATAAAACATGTAAAGTATTGCCTTGGGTTCGGATAAACGTTGCAAATTCTGTACATACAACTTGTTCAATCGCTGAATTTAGAAAATTCACAACAACTGGTTTATTAACCAAAAACCCTTCTTGCCCCATGTATTCCGTTGATGGTACTAAATGCGATGGTTTAGATGAACCTAATTGCCCCACATTTAAACCCCATAAATAGATCTGACCTTTTTTAGTTACTACACAAGAATGAATCTTGGAACATGAAATTGAAGTTATTTCTTCATTCTCCAAAATTGTCAATCGTTTGGGTACCATTGAACAAACATTATGTGAATTTTTTGGGTCATCTAATTGTCTTGACATTGAGTGGCCCAATTGACCATAATAATTCCACCCCCATGAATAAATATCACCATTTTTGTATAAAACCATAGTATGGTGATCACTAGTTTTGATTTCTTTTATCTCTAACTTTGGTAAACCATCGACTTTTGCATAGTGAGACTGAGGTAAATCTATAACACCGTTACCTACACGTCCTCTGTTACTATTACCACATGTAAATATTTCATTATTTGACGTAATAATTAAAGAATGATATCTCGTTATATAGGAATTCCTTATTCTTAAATTTGGCAATAACATAGATGAGGTTTCCAATTGATGCACATTAATTTGGTAGAAATTTTGACGGTCATCCTTAGTACCTGTCCCTAACTGGTAATTAACATTGGAACCCAATTGCAAAACATGTGAACCTCCTAAATGTTGAAGTTTATCCTGTTCTAATTTCTCTAGAGGTAGAGAAAGGAAATTTTTTACATGTCTTTTAACCTCATCGGAATTCTTGGAACCTTCCCAATGTACGTTAGAAAGGCCATTTTCAGTTCTATAACCTAGATAAAGTGGAAATTTGTTAACTAGTCTTCTATATTCTTCAGAATACAGCTCTAATGGTGTTAAACCTTCTCTATCTAGTTGGTTCATTACGTGACCACCGAATTTATGTGAAAGATATTCCTTTTCATCTTTCCAAATTTTATAAAGTTTAAAACTCTTTCTCAACAGTCCACGTTTCAGGGTGACATGTAATGGTGAATAACCACTTTCATAATCACTTGAATAAAGATCTATTTCATTGAGGTCCCCCTCTTCTTCAATACAACTCAGTAAGTATGAGAGGTCTCTTCCAAATATATCTCTTTTATTCCTATTTATATCATTACTCTGCTTTTTGATTGGCATATGCTAATAGGGTATTACTGTTTATAAATTGATAACTCTAAAATTAAGCACCTATTCTCAATATATCCTTAATATATTAAATCGTGCAATCTACAATTTGATTTAGTTTACTAACTGAATCTAATGGGGAATATTTCCTGTTCCAACAAAGGCAAAAATTAGGAGGATAAATTTTATCGATATGAGCAACTCATAGATCTGTTCTTGAGTATCTTGAGCCTTACTTTAAAGGAATATAAACTCCTTTATATTTATCGATGCTTTATATAATAATAATTGAATACTCAGTTTAAAGTGTAAATTGGATACATTGCTTAAACACGTTTCGGTTACCCGTCCATAGAGGTACATGGTTACCCTGAATGGATACGACGGTACCAAATTGTGACAGTTGACTAAATGACAGTTCAATGGGAATGAATCCTTGTAATGCCCTGGTATAAAAGCTTCATTCATAGACTTAATTCTCTAAACTATTGAATTATATATAGGTTTTTATTAAAGTATCAAGTTGTAAAAAGTTTGGGTGAAAAATATCAGTATTTATACTAACCAAAATATGGGAAAATAGTTCAAGGTACATTTAATAAAAAAAAGGATAATAGGTCTTATTGAAATGACAAAGTGTTTGGAGTACAATACCTTACTTGTTTAATATCTATATCTCAGGCTTCTCAATAAAAATATTTGTTATAAAATTAGTATTTATAATAAAAATCATGTTTATGTCGATAAAATATTGTTTGGCTTTGAATTCAATTAGAATCTTAGTTAATGAAAAATAAATATGAATTTACTTATACATAACAGAAAGATCTGATATAAAAGATAGATCAATGGTAGCATCACTTAAAGTCATCAATAACAATGCCCATATGCAACTAACATACCATTCTATTTCTTCACTTATTAAATGTCGAACAATTCTGTCACTGGTTAAAATAATAAATGTTATGAAAGTTGATATTGACTACCGTCACAAGATAATCACGATTGTTATTCTAAGAGTTATATATGATTAAGTATGGCAAATTAGTATAATATTTGAAGATGAAGTTGATCATTATACATATCTAGTCAATTAATTATAGTATTAAAAGCGATTATAATCGAATTATTCTGAATTGAAGATTTCTTGAGAAATGCGAGAAATAGTTAAGCCTAATATTTTTCTTGAAACCAAAAGTAAACCAGTAGTTATAAGGTCTGGATCTACCACGATAGTTGCCATGTTCAATTTATAGAACACTTAATTTTGATCTTGGTAAAATTGGACTCTAAAATGTTTGTTACTGAACATTAGGATCACAATTATAATTGAGACAAAAGTAGATTCTCATAAATGACTGATTTGTCTCTCCGTATTGAGAACATCTATATGACTTCAAGACCAAGAGCTAAATTAAAAGTGCCTTGTTCACATAAAGCAAGAGTTCCTTATAGTAACTGATTTCTATTATTTTCGACTGAAGAATACTAGGAAACTCATAAGTTAAATTGTCAGTATATTCGAGGAACTCCAACAACTAAAGATGATATCCCATCGATAAGTTAAGATCAATGGATTAAACTTCACCAAATTATCCCTGCCCCTTTCATCTGACTTTGGGTAATTCATTTGCATAATAATAATCTCTTGTCGAATATAATAATCAAAATCATAGTGTTGATACGTAAGGCAAGCGATAATAGTTTAAGGAAATAGAGTATTTCAGAAATCCTAAAGATATTTCATGGTTTCATACTGGTTGCCGCCTTAAAAATATCGACTTTAGTTTTAAAATTGAACACACTAAACGTTTACAGGCTTTTTCCTAAGGTTCATTCAGATCTTATTGTCCAGTAATTAAATATTTCTTGAAATCAATGGTGACATCAACATAAAAAGTGTCAGAATGGTAAAAGCTTTAAGCTTCAATGCAAGTAGATATACGTTAAATAGGTACGTTGACCTATTACTAAGGTCAGTGAGTGGTAACTCGCTCTCCCTCCTGTAAAAGAGTAGTCTATATAACATAAATAGTTTTATATATGGGAACTGAAAATTTGTTCCTTTTATATATTAGAGAAATCGATACATTCACCTTGTACCAAAAACAGCAATAGTGACATAAACTTTATCCTCGAGTATCCAGGTTAAAGTCACAACAAAAAGACAAGGTCTAAATGGATTGTTATCACTTCTTAATCCAAGATCAGGCATGACATTAGTTATTTTGTTGAAATTAGGCCCCGTATAACGCTGAATGAATATTGAACCAAATTTAGCATCTAACAAAATCCTATATAATACATAGAGAATATACCACAAGTGAAAGCCTACATATTCAAATTATCAGAAACGCATTAGTCAATAAATTTTTTCTTGACAAAAGAAGATTTCTGAATTTGAGAAGTAGTTATTTCTAGTTCGTCTACTTTGGTACCATTTACAAAATCTGAGAAGCTTGAAATGTAGTATCACCAATTTTATATATCAGACCCCGAAACATGTAGAGAATTATGTTGTGGTTTTTCTACCGAATCGTTCATAGTAATAGATTCTTTATTTATTTCCAAGGACATTCTTAATAAGTTGATATTGATCCAGTGTATTAAAGTATAAAATATACACATGGGAATATAGTACATATGATAAGTATCAATTAAGATCTCATCATTTCTTATATACAGTGTTGGAAAAGTTTTCAGCGTCAGTAATACTTTCGTGTAAAGTAACATTTCTTTATCCTATATGAATAATGTCGTAATACGTTTAGATCACGTGTTACCTCATAATTCTGACAGAAACCCTATTGTTAGGGTGAGAAAAAACAGTTTAAAAATCTAAAAAAACATGGATATGAATGAATAAAACATTATTATATTTTTCAGTTTTTCAAGAAATTAAGCTCGCGTGGCGTAATGGCAACGCGTCTGACTTCTAATCAGAAGATTGTGGGTTCGACCCCCACCGTGAGTGCTTTGTTTCTTCATCTCTTCAAATTCCGCGATAGTTTAATGGTCAGAATGGGCGCTTGTCGCGTGCCAGATCGGGGTTCAATTCCCCGTCGCGGAGTATTTTTTGCATCGAATCGAGCTGGGATCATAGGACAATGATCAATGAATTCTGATTCTAGTTTGTATTTTTTGGGGAAGCTCAAAAATACATTGTTCGCAAGATGTACCTAGATATTACAAATTTTTGCTGAATCTCTTTCAAAATATGATGATGTTCAGTCACAGAAATTTACAACTTTGAAACACGCTAAAAAATGTTGTCATTGGCCTGTTTCTATGACACTGTGGTCAGAAAAAACAGATAAAGGCTCTATTTTGAGCAACCATCAGTTAATAAAAAAAGTATTCGAATATATAGATGTTGAGCATCTATCTCGTATTACAATTAACCAATTAGAGGTTACTCCCCTTTGTTCCAATTTCCTCCAACCTTTTTATGTATTTTTTTTTATCTTATTATTTTTCACTTGATTGCAATTGGTGTTCAGGGTATCGACCTAAAAAGGGTAGTACAAGTCATATATGTATTTATGCGTAATAGGTATACTCTTAACGGTATTCCAGCAGTTTTCATTCCAACAGCTCAAAAAAAAATAGTTCAACAATAGAGTTCAGATGCATCAAAGTTAAATTGAAATATGAATCAGTTCTAATACAATTCTATCTTGATGCCTATTAGTAATAGAATTCAATTGGACTAAACTTAAACAAACCTTTAATTATTGGTTGATTCAACACATCAGAAGAAAAACCGACCATCAAATCAATCTTTTTGCGGGAAACATGTTTCCTATAGAACCTGTACTCACAGGGCTGCCCTCCTGCAGCAATATTTAAACCTTGAACCAATAAACGATGACGACTACCGCCGACCTAACAAGAGCCAGAAATACACAAGAGAAAAAACAAGATTAATTGACCAATAAGCAAACTGTAACAACCACATCTTCTTGATCGTAGCTTGCTCTAGTTTAAAACAAAAGTGTACTATACTAACTGGTTAATAGATTGATAGATTGATAGATTGCTAAATTGATACAAAGAAGTACCCCTTCCTGCCCTTCTTCGTGTGACAAAATAGAATTTGATCATATTAATCCTTTGTGAACTTGTCCTATTTTTTTTTTGGCTTTTCAATGTGAGAAGAGCAAGAGAGGAGAGAGAAAGAGACAAAAAAGAAAAGAGGAAAAAACGTAAAAAGGACAAAATTACTAAAGACATTGGTATAGCTGCGTAGATCTCTGAGACGAGGAAATGATATCTCTATGTACCAAAAGGGACAAGGTGCAAATGCACAAAATAACAACCACCGTCTCTTTCCTCCCGCTCCCGCTCCCGCGCCTGTTCACGTAATAAAAGTGTTTTTTTCTTTTGCTGTTGCCTTTTGGAACAATAAAAAGAAACAACACATGAGATAAAAAAAGAAACTGCATTTCCGTTTTCCGTTTTCTTTTCTTCTTTCTTTTTTTTTTCTTTGTCTTCTCACTTGAATCTGTACGGAATATGTATACTCACAAAAAGGACATGCCACAAAACGGGATTTGTCTGAATTGTAATATGGGATATTTTTTGTCAGGCCGTGTACGAATGTTTCTGAGTAATATTTTAGTTTAGCAAGGCTATACTCTAATTTTATTTTATTTCCTTTTTCTTTTTCTATTTCTTTTTCTTCCTAAAGGGGATATCTTCATGCTTCGAACTTCAATCAGTTTCCTATAACAAGCATAACACAAGATTCTTGTCGCTATCACCAGGACAGGCAGGGTTTACCAGAAGTTTACAAACCCAAATCGTTGTCCTCTGGGGTCACCACAAGAGTTGATGGAAATTTTAATTCGGTCTCTAATGCTAAGAATATTTTTAAGTTGGATTCTAAGGCAAGCCAAGGCAAGCCAAGGCAAGACAAGGCATAAGAAGGGAGTATCATAAATTTTTTATGACATTTGCTATTTGAATTAGATTTAAATTTTTTATTAAAAAATAATTAATTAATAAAAAAGCTGCTGTCAGGACAAATTTTATTGATAATCATACTTGCACTGGCTTTCTGGTTTTTTCCTAAAGTAGAGAACATATATCTCAAAATTTCACTTTCGATTGCAGTTTTTACAGTTGTATATTTGTCCTTGCCCTTGCCCTTGCCCTTTCCCTTGCCCTTGCCCTTACAAAATATGTATAGATACTATCTCTTGAGTTTATTATGTCTACCTACTTAGATGTCCCATAATTGGTCCTCGTTCTTCTTCTATTTGCCCTCGGTATTGGTCATTACATTACAATTACCAGTTATTTCTAGCGTTACGGGTAGCAGTTACCTATGATACAGAAATTAATTTTGTGTAATTAATAATTATTAGTATATTCACTTATAATTATTCTTCGATATATATTTTCTTTTCTTTCATGGAATATTTCCGAAATAGGTTAAAAAAATATCGAGTTAGCGGTTTGGCTCATAATCACCTTAATCCTTTCCCTAATCTTTTGAACCCCAAGGAAATCTTTTTCATTATTCCTTCAAATGTTTAACAAGATCTAATTCTATTCCTTGAAATTAGATCTCGAATCTTTTTCTTTTTTGAAGTCAATTAAACGAATTGAGTCCGTCGTTCTTACCTACCGTTCTTAACACATTTTTCTGGAATTGACAAATCAACACCTTTCCTTATGATTCCTATATTTCTTGAAAATTCAGCAGGTCTATAGACACACTCATGGCAGCAATTATTTTTTCACCATATCTCACAAAAGTTATTCTAATTTGAAATTAAATTTAACATTATATAAATCAATCAATTGTTCAATAGAAAAAGATTCTGAAAACCATTTCTTGTCTTATTTCCAAACTTAAATACTTAAACAAAATTAAAAACAAGAACAATCAATCATACAAGTCTTATCAAGTAGCTGATAATGAAGTTAAATTATCTTCTATTGCTGCTACAAGCAGTTTTGATAACAGCTACACCAATCAGTACATTAAAGAATGCCTGGTCTGAAACTTACACAACTACATACTCAACTCAATTTAGCAAAGTCGGAGGTCTATTCGGTTTCTTTGCTGAGACTGAAACTACTTTTCTAATACACACTCCCCGTCGTGCATCTTCTACAACTATCCAAAAAGGTGCCACAACTGTTACCGCCCCTACCACTATCGCCAAAGATATTAAAGTCACCATAGGCTCTGATGGTGAACAGACTACTATCTCTACCATTTACGTTCTAACCCCAGTTAGATATGCCACCACTACTTTTAGATCTTACAGTGACTTCACTGGCACTGTTCCAACAACTGCATTATCAACATCTTATATTTCAGGAAAAGATGGGCTCAACACTACTTTATCAGTATACTACGTTGCTTTACCAACTGATCTATTGAAAACTACCAAATATCAAGATTACACAGGTTCTGTAACTACTACTTATTCTACCAGTTACATTGTAAACTCTAGCGACAACGAAGAAGTTACAAGCACCATTTACTTCGTTAACCAACCAAGACCATCAGGTATCACTTCATACTTTGGTTATTCTGGTACCGATGTTGAATTTTACTCAACAAGTACTGAATATAACTTGGGTTTCAGTAACTTAATCTTTGGTTTTATCCCAACTCCTGTTTACTACGTCCATATCCCTTACCGTTACTCATCCACTATTATTACCATGGTTGGTCACGACCCTTCTTCTTCCACTTTCTTAACTCAAACATCCACTATCTTGGGTGATGACGGTGAATCCACAACCTTATCTATTTTCTACGTCAAGTCTCCTCTAAGATTTGAAACTTCTACTGCATACACTCAAGGTACCCAGACAGGTTACACTACTACTTTGGCTACTGTAAAAACTTTAGAAACAGGTACTGATGGTATCCACACTTCAAAAATTATTTACTCAGTTGCCATTCCAACACATTTGAAATATGTCACTTCTTTTGATTACTGGCCAGCCACTTTCGCTTCAACTTACGAAACTGATATTACCACTACTACTGGTTCAGATGGTAGTGCAACTGCTCAAACAGTTTTTTATGTCCACACTCCAAGAAATCCAGGTGTCACTAGTTTAATTGGTTACACCGGTACTGAAACCGAATGGTATTCTACCAGTGTCGTCTCTGAATATGGATTCAGTGGCTTGATCTTTGGTTTATGGTCTACAACCGTTTACTTTGTTCACACTCCAATTCGTAACTCTTATGCTACCACTACCATTGGTACAACTGGTACTCAATCTGGCACTTACAGTACTCAAGTTTACAGTACTGTTGGCCCAGATGGTGAAACTACCACTGCTTCCATCTACTATGTTGCCTCTAGAATCAGAGAAGCAACAACAACAATTTACACCCAAGGTTACCAAACCGACAGCACTATTACCTTTGAAAGCACTTACAAAAACGTTGTAGGTACTGATGGTTTTTCCACAACCCTGTTGGTTTACTCTGTTGCTATTCCAACCCATATCAAGAAGGTTACTTCATACACTGACGGTGGTTCAATAATCACTACCTACTCCACTAGTGTTACCACCATTGTTGGTACCGACAACAGCAATACTGCTGCTACTATTTTCTATGTTCAAACTCCAAGACATTCAGGTATTACATCTTATGTCCCATACGCTGGATCAGTTACTGAATTCTACTCAACTTCCATCAAGTTCGAATTAGGCTTTAGAAGTAAAATCTTTGGTTTATGGGAAACCACAGTTTACTTTGTTCACACTCCAATTCATGCTTCTACTACTGCAATCACCAAAGGTTACTTTGGTTCTACTACAAGAACATATTTTACAGAAGTCAACACTATTACTAACTCTAACGGTGAAGAAACTACTATCAGTACATTTTTGGTACAAACTCCTTTGCCACTATCAACTAGAACTGTTTACAGCCAAGGTACACAAACTGGCTCTACATCTACATTTGCTACCGATACTTCTTATACTACAGGTACTGATGGAATTGAAACAACTGTTACTATTTTCTCTGTTGTTATTCCAACCCACTTACAAAAAATTACATCTTACATCAAAGGCCCAACTACTGGTATCACCACTTTCTCAACTGGTTATACTACTGTCACTGGTTCTGATGGTTTCTCTACTGCCCAAACTATTTTCTACGTTGAAACTCCACAATTGGAAGGTGTCGTTAAATACACTGCCTGGACCAATACCTTTGAATCTACTACCACTAATTACAGTTTCAGTGTCGGCTTCTTAGGTTTAGTCTTTGGTGTTTGGTCATATCCAGTTTATACTGTATACTTGCCAGAAGCCTCTCCTATTCCAAGCATTTCTACTTCTTCTGGTTATGTTCCAACAAGTGTTGTTCCTTCAACCAGTAGTAGCAATGCAACTGAATCAACTGACTTTACCTCTGAATCAAGTTTCCCAACTTCTTTTAGTGTCGCTACTTCAGAAGTTTCTACCGAAGCTCCAGCAACCTCAGTTGAGTACTCTTCAGTCGAAGTTACTTCCTCAGTTGAAGCTTCTTCCTCAGTTCAAGTTACTTCCTCAGTTGAAGCTTCTTCCTCAGTTCAAGTTACTTCATCAGTTGAAACTTCTTCATTAATTGAATTTTCTTCTACATTTGAAAGTACCTACAGTGAAATCGAGCCATCTACTGCCTCATATGAAAAATCTTTATCTGGTACTGTTTCAGTTCTATCGGGTTTCAGTTCCAGTTTAGGTTACTTTAATAATACCTCTTTCTTTTAAATTCTAAACCGAGTTAGAATTACTTCTGTTCGTCAAAACTTTTAATAGTAAATATTTCAAGACTTTTTTCCATATATAACTATATATAGTAATCAAATTCCATTCATATTCTCATTGAAGTTTACTTACTTGTTTTTTTTGATCAGGATAATTGGCGCCAATAAGTTTTTATCTCTCACTATAAATCATTTAATCTTATTACAAGTGCGATACTGTCGTTATTATCAGCAATTTGATTAAAACTGGTGATTATAAGTTACTCAGAAACTGTGCCCCATCAAACATTAGAGGTCGATGGTAGTTTTGGGTTCTATAAAATTGGTGGTTAGACACACATTTGAGGGAACTAACCATAGCAAGTCCAGATTTGGTTCGAGTATACTCGGTATCCCTTTTAGCATAAATATCTGGATAGTCAATTAATACGCTTTTAAGGCATTGGCCTATCAATTTCTGAGAATACATCAAACAAAGAAGCCATATAGATAAAGATTGAATAATCTGAAAATTGAAATGCTATATTATTAAGATAGAGCCTAAAAGACATCAACTGAATTAATATAGACGATATCAATAGATATTAGAGAGATCCTTTTAATAAGGGCAAAAAAAGGGAATTAGAGACACTGATAATTATCAATCATTTTATATAATTGAAATATGAGAGAATACCAGGTTGAATATGGTTTAGGACAAATCATGAACAGTGCTACTTCAATTCTAGGTTCTTCTAACATTCCAATGGTAGGTATTTGTTGTATCGAGCAACTTACAACTTTGTCCACATGGTATAGTAAAACAGCTTCGTCTTAGACTGTATAGATTAAATCTGAGTTGTGGTAAAATGACAAGCAGTAGGAAACGGAAGTATTTAGTGACGCTTCTACTAGCTATGCAATACTAAACATTATTAATTAATTAACAAGAGGTTTAATGTTCTCCTTTTGAAAGAATATGTAAATGAGATAAAAAGAGGTGGAAATGAGTAAATGCAAATTACCATACTCTAAATATATTTATAAGATTTTCATTTGTAAAATTCGTTTGATGAATTCGAATTCTCTTTAGTTGTCTTATTGTTCTAAGCCGAGTTAGTGCTGTTCAGATGTCTCTGCCAACCTCGGCTTAGTTTACAGCTGAAATAGCTAAACAACAGTTGGTCTAACGTCAGAGGTAATTAATGTATATTTTTATTCTCGGAGTGATATAATATAAACTGTGTTATTCCTATTTAACGTATATCTTCTACGCATCATAAAGCTTAAATGTTGTGACCTAAAATGTAGGTAATATAATGGTAGGTACACAAGATATTACCTATATTTTAGGTCACAACAAGGATTACTTGATCAAGTTGGCTAACTTTTGATTAGTCTTGAGATCGAAAGCTTTTTGGTTAGTCATGTGATTCCAAACATACTGATACCTGCGTACAAACTCGGAACTTATATTTTCATTAGATTTTCAAGTTAATAAGCGGATTTAGCTCAGTTGGGAGAGCGCCAGACTGAAGAATTAACTTCGGTCAAATCATCTGTTATCTGGAGGTCCTGTGTTCGATCCACAGAATTCGCATTTATTTTTTGTTTTTTTTCAATTTTTATTTAACTCTTTGAATTAATCTATTTAAAAAGTTCTAAATTTCTAAGAATCTCTACAACATGAAAAGACAATTGCTCCCCACTACAAAGAGATCCGAGTCTCTGATTCACATCTTCCAACCCACACAATGTTATATATTTTCCCAACATAATACTACTACACGTTTCAGCTCAGCTCAGCTCAAGTTCAAAAACCAGATCACATGACTCCTAAATGATAGCGCTGCATTTATCTCAAAATCTCGGCAACAACCAAATTCCACCCAATCAGATTTCGTTTTGAAGTTTTGCCCATAAAGACAATTTTTTTTTTCAACACATTGAAATTAACAAACCTCGATCAAGTTTTAATCCCTTAGAGGAACTTACTTCACCATTGACTTATCAATTGAACAAGATCAATTTACTATTATTTAAGGACTGACTTATCTGCTTCCTCCTATATTATATTGCTCCTATTCAAGATATTGTTATAGTTATAACAGAAAAAAAATAATCAAGGTAATATTTCTTTCCAAGAGAATTTTGAACAATAGTCAAAACTACACTTACAGAATCTAGTAATTTTTTTTTTTGGTTTGCATAGATTTGGTGTTTTCTTTTATATATTCTAATTTGTTAATTGTACTAGTTTTCTAAACTTTGTTATTATTTTATCCCAATTCTTTTCCCCCATCCTATACACATTCATATTCTTTTTTTCAACCCCCCCCCTCCTCCAATTACTATCATATAACTTGCAAATATCTAAAAGCAATTATTCGTTATGTTATCCCGTGCTGCTGCTTTACGTACAATTCCAAGAGTTGCTTTGAATGCCTCTAAATTCGCAAGACCTGCTGCTGTCTTAGCTACAAGAAGAGCTTATGCTACTGCTAAGGCTCAACCAACCGAAGTCTCTTCCATCTTGGAAGAAAGAATCAGAGGTGTCTCTGAAGAAGCTAACTTAGATGAAACTGGTAGAGTTTTGGCTGTTGGTGATGGTATTGCCAGAGTCTTCGGTTTGAACAACATTCAAGCTGAAGAATTAGTCGAATTCTCTTCTGGTGTTAAAGGTATGGCTTTAAACTTGGAACCAGGTCAAGTCGGTATTGTCTTGTTCGGTTCTGATAGATTAGTTAAAGAAGGTGAAATCGTCAAGAGAACTGGTAAGATTGTCGATGTCCCAGTTGGTCCAGGTTTGTTGGGTAGAGTCGTCGATGCTTTGGGTAATCCAATCGATGGTAAAGGTCCAATTAAAGCTGCTGGTTACACCAGAGCTCAAGTTAAGGCACCAGGTATTTTGCCAAGAAGATCCGTCCACGAACCTGTCCAAACCGGTTTGAAGGCTGTCGATGCTTTGGTTCCAATTGGTAGAGGTCAAAGAGAATTGATCATTGGTGATCGTCAAACTGGTAAGACTGCCGTCGCTTTAGATGCCATCTTAAACCAAAAGAGATGGAACAGTGGTTCTGATGAAAAGAAGAAGTTGTACTGTGTTTACGTCGCTATCGGTCAAAAGAGATCTACCGTTGCTCAATTAGTTCAAACTTTAGAACAACACGACGCTTTGAAATATTCTATCATCGTTGCTGCTACTGCTTCTGAAGCTGCTCCATTACAATATTTGGCTCCTTTCACCGCTGCCTCCATCGGTGAATGGTTCAGAGACAATGGTAGACACTCTTTGATTGTCTACGACGATTTATCCAAACAAGCCGTCGCTTACCGTCAATTGTCCTTATTATTGAGACGTCCACCAGGTCGTGAAGCTTACCCAGGTGATGTTTTCTACTTACATTCCAGATTATTAGAAAGAGCTGCTAAGATGTCCGACAAAGAAGGTGGTGGTTCTATGACCGCTTTACCAGTCATTGAAACTCAAGGTGGTGATGTTTCTGCTTATATTCCAACCAATGTCATTTCCATTACTGATGGTCAAATCTTCTTGGAAGCTGAATTATTCTACAAGGGTATTAGACCAGCCATTAATGTCGGTTTATCCGTCTCTCGTGTCGGTTCTGCCGCTCAAGTTAAAGCTTTGAAGCAAGTCGCTGGTTCCTTGAAATTATTTTTGGCCCAATACAGAGAAGTCGCTGCTTTCGCTCAATTCGGTTCTGATTTAGATGCTTCTACCAAGCAAACTTTGGTTAGAGGTGAAAGATTAACCCAATTATTGAAGCAAAGTCAATACTCTCCATTGGCTGCTGAAGAACAAGTCCCATTGATCTATGCCGGTGTTAACGGTTACCTAGATAACGTTGAATTGTCAAGAGTTGGTGAGTTCGAAGCTGCTTTCTTAGCTTACTTGAAATCTAACCACCTAGAAATCTTGAACACCATTAGAGACAAGGGTGAATTAACCAAGGAATTATTGGCCTCTTTGAAATCTGCCACTGAATCCTTTGTCGCCACTTTCTAAGACAATTCAGATTAATTTTAACTATTCTTTCCAAATATTCTTGATAATATTATTTTATACCGTGTATGATTAATTGATTGCATGGATTTATTTGTTATATTGAACTGAACATAGGCAACGTCAAAATAATATAAAAAAAAATAATTTTTTTTTCCACAATAGAATTAAATAAAATAAATTAAAGCTATGTATAGATATTCTATATAATTTCATCACAATGTCTTAAAATATACACTCCATTTGTTACTCCTAATCAACAACTATTCAAATATTTAATTACTGTGTGATCTATTCACCTTTTTATTTTAGAGGTGATAAAGGCATTTTGAAATTTAAAGTGAACAAATTTCAAAAAATACAAGCTATAGAACTGGATGAATATTGAAAGGTATAAAAGAATAAGGAGTATCAAAGGGTAGATTGTACCATTTGGGATTCTAATTAGTAGACATCAAAGTGTTAAGATCATTAGTTTACATCAATTATGGAAGGATCTGATTCTAAGTCTGTTTCTGGGACAGTGCAAGAGAAACCTGCTAATTATAAAAGAATTTCAGATGATGATTTGTATAGACACTCATCACAATACCGTTTTTGGTCTTTTACACCAGAACAATTGGAACAGAAGAGGATAGATACCAATGCACAAGCTGTAGTGAGTGTTGAAGAGAGACTTTCAGCTTTTAGAGATGAAAACAACGCTGATTTAACTGAAGAGGAAGTTAAAACTCTATTAGAGAAAGCAGTTCCTGTAACGATGGAGGAAGAAGTTAAATTAGTTAACTTTTATGCAAAGAAAGTTCAGGGTATTGCTCAACATATGAATTTACCTACTGAGGTTGTAGCCACTTCATTAACGTTTTTCAGAAGATTTTATTTGGAAAACTCAGTAATGGATATTGATCCTAAGACTATTGTTCATACTACAATTTTTTTGGCTTGTAAATCAGAAAACTACTTTATCAGTGTAGATTCATTTGCAAAAAAGACAAAATCTGTTAGAGAAGCAATTTTAAAACATGAGTTCAAATTGTTGGAAAGTTTGAAGTTTTCATTGTTGAACCACCATCCTTACAGACCTCTACACGGTTTCTTCTTGGATATTCAAAATCTTTTAACTGGTAAGGTTGATATCAAATACATGGGTCAAATATATGAAAACTGTAAGAAAAGAATTACAGAAGCTTTATTAACAGATGCAATTTATTTTTATACACCTCCACAAATAACACTAGCAGCTTTATTATTAGAAGATGAAGCATTGACTTTAAAATATTTGGAAACAAAGTTTAAACCTAAAGAAGAAGAAGCAGAAACTGAGACAGAGGTAGATGAGAAGAAGAAGAATAAAAAAGTTGAGGATAAAGATAACTCACCTAAGGAGGATAAACCAGAATCTTCGATCAATTATGATGTACTACTTTCCTTGATACTTGCATGCAAAGAAAAAATTATAGAATTACCTTCTGTCACTATGGATGATGCTAAAAATATAGCAGCTAAATTGTACTTCTGCAATAACCCAATGAAGGCAATAGCCAATTCCAAAAGAAAACAAGAAGAATCTGTCAGTGATAGTGGTGAAAAGAAACAAAAAATATAGCATTTATCATTAAGCATGAATTACATAAATTGTACTTCCCATAAAGTTATATTAAGATATGCATAAATTAAGTCATATATATGTATACTCCAATAGATATTTATATTGTAATTAACCAATAACAATTTAATAACAACCGTAGGATCCCAGATGGAACATTATATTATTTTCATTCAAGGTTTCAATAATTTTTTAGATTATCTAACTCTTCGTTCTTACAAACTTTTGTTATGTCATTGGCATTAAGAGTTTCGTATTCCAATAGAGAATGTGCGAGCCTATCCAATTCCTGTCGTTTCGATGCTAGCAAAGTTCTTGTGCGGGTTTCAGATTCTTTTAAAATCCTGACCACTTCATTATCTATCAAATCTTTGAATTTAGGAGAACAATTCTCTATATCATCTTCAAGATTAAGAAGTCCAACTTTTTTACTCATACCATATTTAGTGACCATTGCTTTTGCAGTTTTGGCGGCCTCCTTTAGATCGTATGTGCAACCACTAGTTGCACTCTCTTCACCAAATATCAATTCTTCAGCAATTCTACCACCTAAATAAACATCTAACCTTGCCAAGCATTCTTTCTTGGTCACATCAACTTTATCTATCTCTGGCAGTTGAAATGTGATGCCCAATGTCTCACCTCTTGGGAGAATAGTTGCCTTATATAACGGTACAGAGCCTGGTGTGAAGAGAGCCATTATTGCATGACCTGCCTCGTGATATGCAATAACATCTTTTGTCTTTTTAGTCAATTCCATTGACTTCTTTTCTGCACCAAGAAGTATTTTATCCTTTGACCATTCAAAATGAGACATATTTACTGTCTTGGCATTATTTTGACATGCATAAACAGCAGCTTGATTAACTAAGTTTGCCAAATCAGCTCCTGAAAAACCTGGGGTACCACGAGCAAGTATTACTGGATCAACATCAAGATCCAATGTGATATTTCTCATATGTCTTTTCAAAATTTCTGTTCTACCTCTGACATCAGGTAGGCTGACATTTACAATTTTATCGAATCTACCAGGCCTTGTTAAAGCTTTATCTAAACCCTCAGGGAAATTAGTTGCACCAATTACAATGATACCAGATGTCTGGGAGAACCCATCTAATTCCACTAGCAATTGGTTTAAAGATTGTTTGGTATAAGCGGGATCTAGTGTCGTACGTCTGACACCAACTGCGTCCAACTCATCTATGAAGATAATAGCAGGAGCATTAGCTTTAGCTTCAGTAAATAAATCTCTAATCCTTTTGGCACCAACGCCTACATATACTTCATCGAATTCAGATCCTGACATCATAAAGAATTTAACACCAGCTTCACCAGCCGTTGCTCTTGCCAGTAAAGTTTTACCAGTACCAGGTGGTCCTGTTATAAGGATACCCTTTGGCAGTTTACCACCAAGAGATTCATATTTACTTGGGTTCTTCAAAAAATCCACAACTTCTTCAAGTTCTGCTCTAGCTTCATTACAACCGCATACATCTTCAAATCTAACATCTGATTTAACTGAATGAATAGTCTTATTAGCGAATTCTGAATTGGGCAAGATTGAAGAACTTTCATCAATTAAATCTGCTAGCTTCGACAGTAAATATAGGATTAGAACAATGAAAACTGACCATTTTAAAAATCTTACAAACAAAACTAGTTTTGATTCAGTTACAATTACATGAATTGGAATTTTTTTAGAACCAAAGTTCGACTTCTTACTGTTACTGTTACTGATACTACTCGATTTACTGTCATTTATAAAATTTTGGTAAGGATCAATGAAGAGTTTCTGTCGTTTAATCGACCTAACTTTCTCGAACTGTCCCAATTTCATTAAACTCTCAATATATAATCGGAAACATTCTAAATTGGAACTCACACCCTGTGTTTCAAACCGTGAAACTACATAATTTGGGAAACCAAATCTTAACATTTCCTTATATAAAGAGGCCTGAGCCTCTGGATCATCTAAATCTTCATTAGCCAATTTCTCTCTTTCAGTTAAAAGCCTGTCACTTTTCTTCCGATTATTGTCGTTGTCGTTGTTGCTGATGCTGATGCTATAATTCTTAATAACTGACTCTGGTTTATTAAGAATATTCTTATTAGATGTAATATAAGAACGTATACAACCAAATAAATTACCAAATATATAATTGTTACAGTTTCTTGAATGTACTGGAAGCTGATGTATTCGACATCCTGTGTTGTTTAATTGTCTTATCCACGGTGTACCACCACCATAGAGCAATCTGCTTGTAATCATTCTTAATAAAGCTAAAACGACCGTTGGACTGAAGCATCAAGAAATTATGCAATTGAAGCCAAAGTATAAGAGTAAATATACAATAATATACAATTAAATACTGTCATTCAAGTTAAAATCATAATAAGTTCTTTATTTAACTAAAACATTACTCTGACCATCATCCAAGACGTGATGCCTGTCACTTGAGGTTGTTATTAATCACCTCAAACAAGAGAATATACCAGATGGTTTAAGGTATCCTTCAAAAAATAAGACATTATCATTACAGGTCTACAAGTCTACAAGAACTATTTATTTTGAGGTATTCAGAACATTATCAACTTATGTCAAACTCTCTTGTCACCACCACCACTTTCTCTTGTGATAGTATATCCACCTTTGACGTTTTCTCTTAACCCTTTAGCAGTTTTATAATAGCTGTTGGGATGGGTCCCAGTGTATATTGTTTCTTCGGATGTTAAAATAAGAGTCTATTGTTAGCTTGGATGATTCAAATTAATTTCGATTCGAAATGGTTTGAATTCTTGATGGTGGTGGTGGTGCTATAACCCTTTAATTTAATGCCGGATCAATCAAGTTTCGAATTTTCATTTTTATTTTTATCGTTGCATCATTGAATTGTATATTGGATTGAATATTAATTTAAATTCGATATTAATTTATGTTAAATTGAATTTTAGTTTGAAACTTTTGTCATCAATATAAATATTGAGCATTGATTATTTTTACGTTCCTGGTGAAATTTCAATTAATTACTTATTTAATCTAATTGTTATATTTATATACATATATTTCTCTATATTACACATTATTTATTGTCGACAAAGGTTATTGATATATTATTATATATATCATTATTTGTAAAGTATTTTTAGATTGGATTGTGAATATAACAATTATGTCAGAATCTGTTGGTATTATTGGTGCTGGCCCAGTTGGTTGTTTGACTGGTCTGTTCTTAGCTCAAAAGGGTTATGATGTCACTCTATTTGATTTCAGAGATGATCCAAGAGCTCCTACTCACAAGACTCAATTGAGATCAATTAATTTAGCTATTTCAAATAGAGGACTAAGTGCTATTGATGCTGTTGACCATGAATTGTATCAATATGTTTTGGAAAATGTTATTCCTATGAAAGGTAGAATGATTCATTATCTCTCTGGTGAGCAGGAACCTCAAATGTACGGTCTATATGGAGAGACCATTAAATCAGTCGATAGAAATGGTATTAACATCTTCTTATTGGATGGTTTAAAAGAATTCGAATTGAAGGGCAACTTAAAGGTCCAGTTTAAGCATAAGTTAAGGAAAATTCAATTCGATTATAATGACTCAAAACAACGTTGTGAATTTATCTACCCTTATGAACCAGGTAAAAGCACAACTGTCAATTATGATTTCGATTTTGTAATTGGTTCTGATGGTATCCATTCAGCCACCAGAGAACAAATGCAAAGAGCTGTAAGAATGGACTTTAGTCAATCTCAAGTTGACCGTTGTTATATCGAATTATCAATTCCTCCTTCTGATGAATACCAGAAACAATACAAGGGGTATTTCGTCATTTCTCCAGATTATTTACATATCTGGCCAAGAGATGAGTTTATGTTAATTGCTTTACCAAATAAAGATGGTTCATTCACTTCAACTTTCTTCAGTTCATGGGAGATTCTTGATAGATTGGTGGCATCAAAGGAAGAGACTAGAAGATTCTTTTTGGAGTACTTCCCTGATGCAATGGAAATTATGGGAATCGACGAAGCTGTCGAAGCATTCCACAACAATCCCAAGGGTAGATTGGCTTGTATCGATTGTAAACCATACCACTACGATGGTAAGGCTATCTTACTAGGCGATGCATCCCACTCAATGGTTCCATTTTATGGCCAAGGATTAAACTGTGGTCTAGAGGATGTCAAAGTCCTTATGGAACTGATGAACAAGTATGATGAAGACAGATCAAAGGCTTTTTCCGAGTACTCTAGGATCAGATACAAAGATCACCTGGCTATCATCGCTCTATCTAACAGAAATTACTATGAGATGTCTCACGACGTGACATCCACTATGTACCTTTTGAGAAAAGCTTTAGATGGTGGACTATCAAGGATCTTAAAAGATAAATGGTTACCATTATACACAATGGTGACATTTAGAGAAGATATCCCATACCATATAGCCCAGAGTGTCTCTAAATGGCATAGAAAAGTTGTAAATTTTGCTATTTCCGGGATTTTTGCAGCTACTGCTTATGCTGGTTACAAATTTCTACAACAATACCTAAAGAACAAATAAACCTAAATTAATGTTACTCCTTTAAATTCCATTACAAGATTCCACTTGTAACCTCAATCCCTTCTCAATATAAATATCAATACCAACATTTTCATGACCAACATCCAATTTTATCTATTTGTTCAAGTAATGATTTTAGTTTTTATTCTAATCTTTATCTAATTAAATATATTAATGACTTTAATTCTGATATATTAATCAATCTAATGAATGCCTCACCAACAAGTCCTATAAATATTCAAACTGTTTATATGAGGTTCAAAAAGGTTACATCATTTACTGTCATCCCCATCAAAACACAAATCACGTGACTTTGGATATTATTTGACCATCCTTCCTAAGAATGAAGATTTAAGTATTTACATTATAAAAATAAATGATCCAAGGACATCATCGCTATAAAAGAAGGAGGTTTATGCTAGCAAAGGAAGGTATTTAGGGAACTAGTGGTTAGTGGAGATCCACGATGACGACCCAATTAATGTATGAGAACGATGATGATCAAGGGTTGTTTACCAACAGGTCTACAATGTTGGCAAATTTTGAAGAATGGATCAAGATGGCAACAGATAATAAGATTAACTCAAGGAATAGTTGGAACTTTGCATTGATTGATTATTTCTATGATTTGAATGTTTTGAGGGATTCTGAGAATAATATTAATTTCCAGAAGGCTTCTGCCACTTTGGATGGGTGTGTTAAGATTTATTCTTCAAGAGTTGATTCAGTTACTACCGAAACTGGTAAGCTTCTTAGTGGGTTAGCGCAGAGAAAGAATGATAAACACGGTAATGGTAATGGTGGTAGTACTGGAGAGGATGGCGATGATGGTGCTAATGATGATGATGGGATTAGAATTGATCCAGATACTGGGTTACCAATTGCGGACGATCCCGATAGCCATTCAAAGAGAAGAGTTTACAATAGAGTTTTAGAAACTACATTAGTTGATTTTGATACTATTAGAATGAAAGGCCTTGATAAGGAATTGAACATAGATCCTTTATTTAAAAAAGCACTAGTGGATTTCGATGAAGGTGGTTCTAAAAGTTTATTATTGAACACTTTAGACATCGACAATAATTGTAGAGTTGTATTTGATGCAGCCATAAAAGATACAAATTTTACTAAGAATGGAAATGTTTTGAATGAAGAAGATGAAAGTTCAGAATCAGAATTAGAATCAGAATTAGAATCAGAATCAGAATTAGATGGAAGGAATGGAAGAAAACAAGATACAGATGAAAAAGAAAATGATGGAATAGAAAATGCTTCGCATGGGACTCTGAATAATGAAATATCTATGGAAGATATCAGTAGAGATAACGAAAGGTTACTTGACGATGAAAAAGCTATTATTGAGGATGAAATACTTGTATTAGGTATGGATTTCATCAATTTTGAAACTTTGGAAAAATGTGAAATATCATCTTCAATGAAACAACTAAAGTCTGTTGTCAATGACATAAACCAGGCAAAAGGTTTCATCGATGGGGTTAACAGCAAATTCGGTAATTACTTGAGTGAAGATGATTTGAAAGAAGCTGATCTCGATGACAATTCTCTAGATGCTGATGTCAATTTTGATATGGATGACAATAACTATGCTGATGATGATGCAAACATCATAGATAATCATGAAACAACTCGCGATAGTCTGAAGAACATCTCTACTTTGGATGAAGCAAGCGCTGTACTGGGTAATATGTTTGAACAAGATTTAATGTCATATTTCGATGAAAGTTTAAAGAAAAGTTGGCGTGGTAGAGATCATTGGAAAGTACGAAACTATAAGAAAAAGATATTAAATGAAACAGGTGATAATAATCAAAAATCCAGCGAAGATGAAGACGGAGAGGAAACCAATAATAATGAAAATGCATCAAGTAATACAAAGAAGTCAAAGAAAAAATCTACAGAAGAGGTCGATTTTTTTAAAATCGACAATGATCTGGAAGAAATTATATTCGCACCAAGACAACGTAAAGTTATCGAGATACCACAGAAATCTCGAATGAATCCTGATCATTTTCTATTACCCGATGATTATCAATTTTCTACAGACAAGATCACTAGATTATTCATCAAACCGTTACAAAGAATGAGGCTATTTCAAAATAAGAGAAACAAGGGAACTATTACTAGTAATCATAATGAAAGCGACGAAGGGTTTTTATCTGATGGGAATGCGGTACCTGAACCTGCAAATGAGGAATTTTGGGCCAAGAACTATGAATTGCAAGAACAAGGAGATGATAATGGGAATGATAATTTTGATAATGATGGCATTGATATCCAGGCGGCAGATCTTGAAAATCCATTTGAAGAAGATAATGGAATTGATTTCAATCAAGCGTTCGATTCTGATAGCAATGATATCCAAGAAGGACCTACATTTTCAATCAAGAATGAAGATAACGGAAAACTTCCTATTAATGATAGAAAGGTTAATTATTCTAGAGTGGCGAAAAAAGTCGATGTAAGAAGGTTAAAGAATAATCTTTGGAAGTCAATTAAGATATTAGTTGGAAAAGTAAAGGATTCTGAAGTAGGAACAGAGGTACTTGAAATCAAACTTACGGATATTGCCCATGAGATGAGCAAAATGTATAGTGACGAAACAAGGAAGGATATATCTACTAGTTTTTGCTTTATCTGTTTGCTACATTTATGTAATGAACATGGGTTATCAGTTAAGAATATGGAAAATTACGATGATTTAACTGTAGTTTATGATATTTCCAAGGAGAGTGTTGAACAGTAAAGTTAGGTTAAGATTACGAAGTGAAGTTTTTTGTGCATTAGTAGAACGTATAATTATGTAATAAATCATCAAACATAAAATAAAATATAGTTGTAATAATATAATTTAATCATTATTTTTTTTTAATTATTTAAATATTTAATTATTTAATAATTTAATTATCTTAATTCAGTCCCAATCATTAAAGTGAAATTCCAATATATTCAAAAAGATGCAAATATGCTAACTTAAACGTGCGTATGTGAGTGAGTGAATGAGATTATTAAAATGGAAGTAATGGACAGATAATAAATTGAACAATAAACGAAAGAACAACATCGGTTTGAGAAGCATATACATGCTTCAAACCAAAACATTTTTTTATTTTAATTCATTTTTTTTTTAAATTTGTATTATAAACTCAAAGAACAGACTTCATTATTATTAAGCATTATTAGTAAGTATTGTTTTTATAGTATTATTATCATTTGTTTTTGTTATTAAACTTTTTTTTTTAATAATTCTTCACTTCTCCAATTTAATTTTTAATTTCTAATTTATTCCAACCTTCTTCTCTTCAAGTCATCAGTTTCATTACTATTTGGTGTGGTCATCGAACTACCGTTAGATTTATTAACCTTTCTCTTCTTTGGATTAGCTTTACCAGTGCCATCCAAATCAAAAGCTAAGTCATCAATTGCGAAACCTAGAGAATTTTGGAACTCAGTTGGATACGATCTTTCAAACTGTGAGAGCACATTCGAACACATTTCCCAATCCATATTATTATTTTCGAAAAAAGAAGCATCTCTATTAGCCATAGCTACTTCAAAATCTTCCTTTGTCATATCCTCAGTACGATTAACCTTAGACATCATATCAGGATTATTCTGGAATAGAATATGAGAAATTTCACCACCTTTCCCATTTTCCCTCGTTGGAATAGTAGAAAATTTACCAGACAAATCAGAAATCTGATTCTTATATGACTTCCTCAACTTAACAGCTTTTGATCCATCGGTATTAGTCCTTGCTACCTGTTGAGAAAGCTCATCCAATTGGTATTGCGTTATCAAGTCATCCATAGGATTAGGCTTCTGAGGCAAATAAACGCTCTCAGGATCAACATAATAATAGTAAGCTGGAATAGTTTCCTCCATCGTAACAAATAAAAAGTAACAAGTAAAAATATATATATAACCTTTCTTTAAAACCTAAAGAATAAAAATTTCTTTAAATATATAAAGATGAAAAGCTTGGCTTGGTGATTCTCTCCAGGAATGAAACAACTTCAAACAATAATAATAAATTAAAACAAATCAATCCAAACCTAATCCACCTCAATAGAACCAAAACAACAACTGTTTATATACCTTTACTTTCGAATTAATCATCGTTCTTGTCTCGTTTATATCTTTAAAACCAAAATTTTTTTTCTTATTGCCTTTTGCTTTAAGAGAGAGCCCTTTGGAAAAATGGCGATATCAAGCATCTGTTGAGATGGGATATCGAATGGAAAAGTGATGAAATAATGATGAAATGGTTAGATTTAAGATGCAAGAGGTATAGTTGTGGTTTCAAGAGTGGGTTATTCGAAATTAGTGTTGGTTTATGGATGTGGGGCAATTTTTTCTTGTTATCGGAGGGTTGATATTGATGGAGTTACTGATGATGACAGTAAATTATTGATTTAGTAGATGAAATTGAAAATGACAAGAGAGACAGAGAGACCAATGTCCGGTTGGGTTGTACCTGAACATCTTCTNGGTTTGGGTAGTTTGGTTGTAGTTTATTTCAAATTTTTTTATTGCTTGTTTGTCTTACATACTTACGGGTTATATATATATTTGTGAAGGAACTGACTAGAGCAGTGTATATGAATTGATTAGTAGTTGAGTGGGGTCGGGTGGGATTGGAGGGGGGGGGGGGGAATATTCTGTGTGTGTGTGGAATGGTGTAGCTTTTATCCCCCTCTTTAAATGTACAACCAGGTTAATAGAATGACTAGTATTGCCAAGAGTCCAATTACCTTTGGATTCATCAAGACATTTTCCATTGTACTGGTTCCTTTGACGATATCTTCGACTTGTAATTCACCAGTCTCCAGACCTACCGGAGACGATGCAGACCTTACTGGACGTTCATTCTTCTCTGAGCCGGCTGCTTCCGTAGCTCCAGTTTGGATTCCACTCGATGTCTTCTCTTGTACTTGTGGTTGTGATTCCAAAGGAGTGGTGGTGGTGGTGGTCTCGGCCAGCCCTTGATCCCCTCCATTCAAATACCCAACTTTGATCTTCTTGGAGACCATTAAGGTTTTGAACTCCTTCTCAAGCTCTGTCCACACGTCCGCTACTGTTCTGCCTTCTAATGCATACGGCAACGGTAGTGCTAGAATCAAGAACTTGTCCTTGCAAACTGCGTCAATCGCAGGCTCTTCAGATAACCCAAGAAGCACAATCTGAACTTGAACAGTCTCACCAGGTTTAACAACCCCAGAATTCGGCTTAACATTATAGACCTTTGGTGAAGTGGTCCTAACTTTAAACACTATATCTCCTTCCTTTGCTGCATTATGAACCGTAGCCACAGCTGTTCTCATCTGAGTCAACGGCCTCTCAAACTCAAAACTAGTGGGATTAATTTCAACTACCAACATTGCTATACGATTCAATCTCAACCTCTCAAAAGTCTAGTGATTCAAGTTCAACTTGCTACTAAATGATACTTGTCTTGTATACCAAAAATAAAAATAAAAATTTTTTATTTTTATTTTTATTTTTATTTTTATTTTCACCTGTTGGTCTTGCCAGCTTCTTTGCTTCTTCAAGCCAAACCTCCTTGAACAATAAAATGAAACTCAACCAACCAATCAATCAATCAATCGATCCGTCAATCTCTCTTATCCAAATCAACCATCCAAACTTTTAAAGGTTTCATTAAATCAACTTGTTCACTTCGATTCTCTATCTCCTTTGACCTTTTTACCTTGTTAAGGCCCTTTCCCCCCACTCCCGTTGAGAGTGCTAAACAAGAACCGGTCAATGCTCATCTCATCTCATCGACTAGTCGACTATTACTCAATTAACTTCTCAATGATCATATTATCTACTGAATCTATATATTTATCAATCAATATATCAACCTCTTCAAGGTCAAGGCCTTCTTTTGTAGTGGCTACTTCCCTGTCTCTCTCTCTTAGTAATCCTCACCTTTGGAAACAACTTCTTTCTTGTGTGGATGTAATAAGATGGTGTGTTCGTACTGTGCAGTGTATGAACCTGGGATATCGTTCAATGGTGGGTAGTCTTGCACTATCCCTTCTTTTACCAGTTGATTCAACGAATAAAGGTACTTCTCTTGTCCCAATTTGTCTAGATAACGACGACACCATGGCAATGTTCCAAAATTGTCATCGATAACTTTTAATAAGTTTCTTGCGTTTGCTGATGCTGGTTTTGGCAATTGTCCTTGGTTCTTAGCATAATGTGAGACTTCACCACCTGGAAATACGTAACCTCTACCTGTCGAGCCAAAAGTTTCGATAGCAAAATGTTCACCTTCTTCCATTTTGGTTTCATCACCGTTTTTAACAATGGGTACCGATTTCCCTGCATGGATCTGGTATGGTCCAATGCTGTGACCACATAGATTTCTGCATGGTTTGACTTGGAACGTTTCACCATTGATTTCCACTTCATATGATTCCATCACTTCCTGGATAGCTTCACCGATATCTGTCAATCTGACGTCAATACCGGACTCTTTGATCCCTGTATAGGTAGCTTCACGAACAGCTGTTAATAGATTGTCATATTGGGGGTCGAAGGCAACTGTCCATGCAGAATCAACGATATAACCGTTGACTTGGACACCAATGTCGACTTTCATCACGTCTTCATATTTCAAAACTGTTTTATCACCAGCATTTGGTGTGAAATGAGCCGCAACGCTATTTAACGATAAACCAGTTGGGAAACCAATACCTTGAGACTTTGGATTCTCCATTTGATTTAAATCCTCAGCACCTGTGAATTTCCTTGGTGCGTCTTCAATATGTTTGCAATTTCTGGTAATGTCATCCAAGTTTTAATTATTTTGGACTTTTCTCTGAACGACGATGGAATTCAGAACTTTCCCCAATCGTTCAACGAGTTTCGTCTCTTTGTCTCGATTCAAAAGTTTCCCTCACTGTCTTCTCCGAGGTGAAGTCTTGTCAAATCCATCCATGGCCCCGGGAAAATTTCCCGGAAAACATTCAATGTCTGAAGGTGTGGCTCCCCTCTCTCTGGCCTCCCTCTGGTGGACCCGTTTCACCACAGGTCATTCCGACGTCCACGGGTGTTTTGGTATGCTTCTTGTTTTTCAGGGGTGTTCTTTTTCGAAAGGGGGGAACTATTTGTGGTTGAAAACCCGGCCCGGAGGAAAAAGCTTTAATATTGCCCAAAAAGTTAACGAAATTCTGGTGGAAAAACGGGATTGAACTCTTGTAACACACACCCCCCGCCCGCNCGCCCATGTTTAAAGAGAGCTTATATAAAA